AATTAAAGTTTAAAGTTTTTCACACAGCCGAATGCGTAGTTTTACCATGTTTGAATTAATTGCTAGCGTGGACTGTCAAAAAAAAATCAAACGCGCCGTAATAAGTATAAGAATCTCTAGTAATTTTAGTTTGATCATCAACTATAATAAAATATATCGAGCAACTCGGCATGCCCACCAAGGACGTCCATCGACATTTTATCCATCTTACACTAACAAAATGCCTAGGTTGAACCACGATTTAAAATATATACTATCTAGGTATGAATTAGACGGAGTCAACAAGAACAAACTAATACGATCCAAGAAAAATACGACAAATGCTCGCAATCAAAATACATTACATAGCTACTGCATACAGAGTGAGTTTAGTGACGTCTTTAATTCCTCCGTAGAAATGGACAAAACAGACTTCAGATGTCTGAAACATAAAAAAAAAAAAAAACAATTTAAATCGTAACTTAACTTTAGACAAATTGTACAAACACCTAGATAAATAGTATAAATTACTATATAGTAATAAAATTAATAAAATTTTGTAAATTATATACAATTCATAGGTACCTACAAGCCATCGCAATAGGTTAGGTACTAGGTACTAGGTTAGGTAATAGGTACTCTCAACCAAATAATCAAAAGACCCAGGCTAACATAATAAATAATGTAAATAATAATAATACTGTTGACTCCCAGCCGCCAACACTTAGTACCGAATACTCTTCATTGATGGGTATGGCCAATTTCACCTCTACTCAAACATCAGCTCCTCATTCAAGCCAAAGTAGTCTTCATAAATTCATTGTTATCAGCCATTAAATCCTATCGCTACTGTCCTCGACCGTCTACAGTCCAATTATTTCAAATTGATCATTTACTTCTTAGTTCTTGCCACATTCTGATGGAATCTAAATGGTTTAGTAAACTACAGACACGAACCTCTCACGTTACTAAACGGAAAGGGTTGCAACCAATTTCCAAAATTTTAACTAAAAATGTTTAAAAAAAATTAAAGATAAAGTGGCACCAAAGTGTTACACAACTTTTGGATCACAATGTACAATAATTGTAGGCTCAAGGCTCTAATATTTGTAATCAATGTAATACGTATAAATTTATATAATTTCAAAAACATAAATATTTTTTAATAATGTTTGTATAATTTTGGTTTTGATAATTTGTGATGTTTAATTTTTTATTTTGAGTTTCTGAAGCTTGTCAATAGATGGTAGTTTTATATTGTATAGTGTTTTCATTATTGAATGGAATAATATAAATGAAACTGCTTGACAGTTTGTTTTGTTATTATTCTATTTTTGGTTGTTAAGCTTTTTATTAGGTACATATTATTTTATATAATTGTATCATTCTTATAGTATAAAAGTCTGACAAGATGTTATTATAAAATAGAACTCTACTATCTCAACAAAAGCTATATGTTTACAGGGTGTGTTGCATAGTTGCATATTAAATATCTGTTTATAAATCAATTACTTGTTTTCTCTTCAACAAATAACATTAACTATTGTTATTAATATTACTCTATATATTACTTATTATAAATACAAATCAAAATTATACACGTACACATTATTAGAATATAACTAATGTATATTTTTATAATGTTTGAGGTAAGCTTAAAAAAAAACTTTTATTATATTTAAGTAGCGGTCGCTGGATTGGGTATGCAATATGCATTATACATATTTTTTTAGTTTATTTAATAACATACTATAAGAAGAAAAATATTATTGATATGAAGGTTATTTACAATTCATTTAACATAGTTTGGTTCGGGAAAAAATTCGAGTATTGTAGTGGTGAATTGCTCGTCTCCAAGTACTTCTTCAACGTTGCTTGGTGTGTTTGGATTGGAATCATTGTAGTTATTAGCTTTCTATTTATCGATAAAAAATAGTTCACTTAAAGTTTTAATAAAACCAAATTTAAAAAAAAATATACTTTTGTCGAAATAGTAAATACGTGATTTATGACAATAATTCTATATTATATAATACGAAAAATATTCGTCCATATTGAATGGGCGGTAATGAACTCAGAAAATGAAACTTAAATTGTTTTGTGCATGACCGCGCGTAAGAAAGAATGGTACAGATTTTCGTGTCAGAGCTGACCTACGTGAGTATTGTTACAATGGTCAGAACTATATATGACTTCGGTCTTTGAATTACAGAAGGCTTGAAATGCAGTCCATTCAAGACACTGAGTTATTATGGTTTTAATGTGAGTTTTCCCTTTTTTTTTGTTTAGTTGTTAACGCTTTTCCGGAGCGCAGACAGAAAATTCTAAAAAAAATATCTTTCAACGCTCTCATCATCTGAACCCGTATTGAGGAGCTGTATCGAACTATTGTTGCAATCAAAATATTGTGATACCTTTTAATATAATAATGCTAAATACTAATAAATATAATACTGTAATTACAATAATAAACTACGCTTGGTTTCTGGTCTCATATTATTTTATTTTATACTAGCACATTGTACTTGTATCTTTCTTCGGATATACTCCGCCATTCTTTTTTTTTTTTAAATTATTTATATTCTGATGCGAAATGGTAAGAGCAATGGTTATAAAATATTATTTACGAGTGTCTTCTTCACGCTAACAGTATTCAATGGCTCAAACCGATGACACAACTATAATACATAATATTCGGTGAATAATATAATCGATGTTATCAAAGCGATAGCATACATATTGTGTTAAAAATTATTGATGTGAATGTCGAGTGGAATCAATACTAATGATCGAGTATGGACCGATTTGTGTACGATTGGTGTAAACACAAGTTTCATACCTCCCTCTCACCCGACCATGTCTGAATTTCTCTCTTTAGCTGCAATAATTCATTGTCTTCGAGGTTAATTAGGTCCCAAGGGTCCTATACATATGTTTAACTGACGTCCATAAATATTAGTTCCCGGGAGACCTACGAGTAATAGTACAGGGTGGTACACTGATACATAACGATTTATAATAATTTCTTCAGTTGTTAGTAAAACCTGACAACTATAGACTATATTATTAATTTCACTACAAGAAACTTTTAAAGCTTATATAGTCCTTATTGCCCGAAAAAGCGTAAATAGAAAGGAAAAAATCATTACTAATAAAAAATCCATTAGCCATGGGCTTTGAGCAGAATCTAAAAAAACAATGCTTAAGATAAGACGTATATTTTGCAAAATACGTCATGTTTATATAATAAATTAAACTTTTCTATTCGCATTATTTACCAATTAAGTAGATAACTGAAAACTGAATAATCAAATACACCTGCTGCAGTTCACATTTGCAATAGACCATAATAAATAGACGCGATATCACATAATATCACATAAGTCTTAAACATGTACGCAACTACACTTTGGGGTATTCGAAACTTACAATGGTATCAAATGTGAAAAGTTTTCTAGTTTTCGAAAAACCTTCATTGCAATTCCGGTAAAAACAGTTTTCTCTCTCAAGCGATAAAAGTGAGGCCAGTAGAAAATTGCAAATAAGCTAAACGGGGCTGATTTTGATTGGATTAAACGTTTACGAATGATATTCAATTGAATTAAATGTGTTGAGCTTAAGGGCTCGAATAAAAATAAAAAAAAAACGAAAAACAGCAGATAATATAACGGTACAGACCCGTGAAAATAAAATGTATATATTTACTTAAAACCAAAATATACGTTGACGTTTATGTTCCTGATGAATAAAAACTCATCGCACTTATTCCAAAAAAAAAAATGTTAAAAACGCCAACATATACTCAGAATAGTATAGGTAGGTATCTAAAGTTATGTCGTAAAATTACTTTGGCCGTAACAATCGAATATTCACACGGTGCAAATTAAAAAGGGATCCATACATCACTGTATGCGGTCATATTATTGTTTGGCCATATTAAGGTAGGTACTTAACAATTTACGTTTGTCCACATTGATCCCTAACTCGGTCATTTTTATAACGGCATAACGATATCATCACCATATAATTGTGTTCAACATGAAATAAAATATAATCACTATAGAAGCTATTATGCGTCATTATTTATACAACGCGAGATTAACAATGGCAAAAATGACGTCGCGTGGGACACAAAGACTTGGAAGCCTCGCCAGTATTGTGTACGTATTATTATTTTAAATTTGAAAGTAATGATTAATCATTCCGTTTGTAAAACGATTCCGAACAAAACTCGGGTCGCCCAAATACTATTAAGCTGTTCGGAAGAACGAGCGCCTTGCATACATTTTTCATTTCCCCCCCCCCCCCCGTCGGTTTAAGCTACCGTAGAACGGAAAAAAATGTCGTTTGCAGTTAAGTACAATCTGTGTTCGATTTCCAATCTATATAGAAGCGGTCTGTATGAAACGTTTAAAGCACTCGGTCTGTAGTGATCACCTTTGTTGAGCAAAAGTTGAAAAATTCGCAGCGAAATATTAATCCAAGATATTATTATGAAAATAAGTGCAGTAATATTAAAATTGAATTACGCATGTCAGACACTATATTACACGGCTAATAAATTGAATGTTAATAATTTATATATATATATACAGGCTGCAAAGTCGATGATTGTATCTACTATCGATATACTTCGGCAGTATTATATTAATATGTATAGTAATTAATATAATAGGTTTACACAATGCGCCTCTATCGATTACTTTAAGTATTGGTTCAAATATCGGTTGTTAGGGTATAGAATATCATAAAGATCGCATTATTTATTTCGTCGTCATCATTATATAATATTGTTATCATCGTTATTATTTGTATTATTATTATTATTATTATTATACATGCGATGATTATCAACGACTATGTTGAACTATATCATTTTATAAACATGTACAGACATTACGAAACAGTTATGATAATAAATTGAAAGTCCGGCGGCACATTATTCGGACTTCAAAGGTACCACTGTAACACACATTTAACGACATATATCATTATCTATTCTATAATAATATCATATTAATATGAACGACAAAAATCGAAATCCGTGGGACGGTCGCCGACCCTCATTGGACCGTTGGTGGGAAACGCCCGAAAACGAAAATGACGAAATGCCGGAAAAAATTACCAGTCCTCCAAATGCGGTAGAAAATACAAAACAATGGATCGATCGATCTTCGCAGCAGCCGAACGAAAATACCGGTGGTAAAAACCGCAAAGTGTCCATTGCCAAGAAACCGGTAAATGAACAAAATAATTTGATCGTATATAAAATATTGTACAATATTATTATAATATTACTTCCGATTTAATAATATTGCAATATATACACGCGGGGGTGATCCATAAATCACTTATTTAATTTTTTTACCGAATTCGATATCACGATGTAGTCCAAAAAATATTTTGCTACAAAAAAACCAGTTATCATTGAAACAATTTTATGAATTAAAAAATCGTAAAAAATATTGTTTTAACGACTTGAAATTATGTAAAAAAATATTTTTTAAATAATAATTGTTTTGAAACAATTGAGTATCTCGTGTTAAATGGATCACTCGGTATTATGATAGTTAATTTAACCAAACGGAATACGTGTTTGGCGATTCCAGTACCTAGTAATGAGGAATTCTGCATTTTATTTTTTGAGTACACTATATATTCCTAATCGGTAACAATGAAAATTCATGGTTAATATTTTGATATTTTTTTTAGAAAATTATGGTTGTTCTATTGTTACAGCTAAAGTACCTATTTAACACTTTACGTTTTAACACTTGAATAGTGTACAAGCAAAGAATAGCTAATATAATTAACATACGCTTTATTATTTAAATATATAAAGATTTATTGTATTACACCTACTTACAAATCGTGTACCATACTATTATACTAAGTATTAATACGTTAACCAGCTGCAATTGCGTCAGTTATGTGCTTTGTATTAGATTTTAGTAGAAATGAAATATATTATAACTTGAGCTCATTTCTCCACGCCATACAACTTTGAATTCATTATTTTCAATATATGAATACGCCATACGCGTTATGTGAATAAACATAACGTTTTAGTTTGTATTTGATACCTACAACGGTTTTAAGGTGTGTTTTTTTTATATATACATTTACACCCTTTTTATTGGTACAGAGGGAATACTCTAAAAGTTTCATACGAACCAATCGATAGATTAGCAATTGTATGCAAATTGTGTATGGCTACGGTTTGAATGGTTTTTTTTTTCAGAATATGGCACTTAACTATTGAAACAGTAGTACAATTTATATTTGTCGTGATTTTCACTTATTTTTATCATTTTAATATTTTTTGTGGTAAATTCATAGTAAAATAGACGGGAATAGTAAGTTACTTCATAGTAAAAATAGTTAATTATAAAGGTTGTCTAAGTTAACACCCAATATAATATACCTATGTGGATTTCGAACATATTGACTTGAGAAGGTTATTATTATTTACTCATCCATCATTTAGTTCAACGAGGCCTATTAAAACGTTAATTAAATTTTAATCGATAAAAGTTTACAACTGATTGAAATTAAATTTGAATGTAAGTTTAAATTAAAATATGATTACTTTTCAACGGCGATAATTAATTATTGATAAAATTGTTAAGAGTGAGGTATACAATAAAAAACAAAAAGTTGATTGTATATTATAATATTTATTATAAGGTTTATTGTTTTTTTATTTTTTTTGTATCAAAAATAAACAATAATTACAATCTATTATAGGTACAATATAATAGCACAATAAGCAATTTTGATTGCATGATTAAATGACCGCGGTATTAGTAGTAGAATAAATTGGGAAGGCACTCAGCAGTGCCACCTGTCAAAGTTTCGTTCAAAATCTCAGTGATGCCTTTTTAACCAAGACCTAAGGAAATGTTTGTTTTAGAAATAAAATTGTTAATTTCTATTAATGTAACTACCTAATCTTGAGGTATAAATGCTGCGTATTTATTTAGCTCTATACAGTGAAACATAAGGTAAACCAAATTATTGTAATTTAACATGCTTTAAAATTAACTAAATTATAACTGAATTCATGAATAATTTTCGAGTAGAAGCATTTCATCGTGATAATATGCAAATTATTATGGTTTTCACTTTAGTGCAGATTAAACGCACAATAATTATGGTTTTGAGGGAGGAATTAATTAATAATATTATCACAACTATCATAGTAAAACGGACACAAACATTTCGGGTTGTAGCTACCTACGTAAAAACAATATTAACGTTTTATTTTATAAAGATTATTGATTCCACGCCATAGTTAAAATTACATTTTCTTATTTGTGGTGGGTTTTATAATCAGCAATAATTTTAATTGTTATTTATAAGGATAGAAATTCAAAACAGTCTACAAACAATTTTATCGCCATTAACGTATGATTTGTAAAATATAATAGCACAGCGTAGGAAAATATAATAATAAATAATATAATATTGGTGGTTGACTGTGAAATAAAATACCTAAATGCGGAAAACAATAAAAGCATTCTAGTGTCATCTACTCATCTGTTTGTTTTCATATTTGGAAATTCCCGTTCATGCTAACTGATATATATATCACACACAATATGGGTGTTCACACAATATGGATTGCTGAAAATTATATCATTTTTCACACCTGACGTTAAGTTGATATTCCGAAGTGCCAAAACAAGTTATTCATAAAATAAAAGCTATAATTTAAGCCTCACTTTTAAGTAAATTAATTTGTTTATTTTTTATGTTTAACATTAAAATAAAGCATTATTTTGTTTTCGAACAGTTGTAGGTGTCAAAAGTTTGGAATAAAGTCAATAAATATTATTTTTAAAATTTTAATAATGGACATTTAATTTCCTTAAAATATCCTTTTGTATAACACTTGAAAACAATGAAGAATGGCCGAGTCCCAACACTTATAATATTACAAATACATAACAAACTATATGGCTGGGTTCATATCTAAAGTTTAAATTTATATTATCAAAAAACAACCTTTTACAAAATCAATAAATGACAAACGTGCCTATAAATACGCATAACACAATATAGTGTGGAATTTTGAAACCATTCACTGCTAAGTGGCAAACAAAATATTATGATTACACGTATGGGATTATTAAATATTAAATTTAATTAACGATTATATTTAATGTACCCTGTTAAGCAGCCCCGTATTAAGGGTTACTGTTTTCTTTTATCGTAACTATGTTATCCTTTCTATACGAATTATTAATTAACCCTATGAAAGTCTAGACATGTTAGGTATTTATCTAAATTTTTAAAACTAAAGCTAATGCGTAGTTTGAAAGCGCTACGCATTAATAATTATATAAATAATTTTTTATAATTACAGAAACTTCAATAGAAAACAATAGGATAACTTTCATTCTAATGGGTAAATTTTTGTAGATATTGTTTAATTCAAGCCCTTGATCTTACATAGAATATGATTTTATTATTTTCACGTTTTTACGGTTTTTGGAATCAAAATTTTTTTTTTTAATTATTACAAGCCACCAAACATTGTTGTCATTGTTAGAATGTTCAATAGTTTAGCTGTCGAGCAGGCCCGCAGGGACTATATCAATATAAAATAGCTGTTGTGGCCCACTCAAAATATTATTCCAGAATATCTCCCTTATACCACGCAGAAGTGACAATATTACTTCGACCTATGTTGTAGAGCACAAAGCCCTGTAACACAAGCCGCGTAAACAACACTACTTCTTGCTATAGAATATCTGTCATGGGTCATTTTATATTAACACTGTTATCATTATAATAGTATCGAATACAATTAATCATGCTTGCCAGACACATTGTTATACTTTTGTCGATGTATCTTTTGCATAATTTTAAGATGAGTGTAATATACGCTGTGTACCTATTGTGTTTAATAGAGCCGCAGCACTTTTATTACAAAAAAGAATAACTCAAGTTCTTAACTATATAGTATTAAAATAATCTACAAATCTGACTTATATATATAATATGACAGGTGGTCATGTTACGTGAACGCGTAACGTTAAGCTACTGTTATAGTATTATTAGGCGTATGTAAGGCAAACAAAATAAATGATATACCTAGTGTTAAAAAGTAAAAAATAGTATTATAAGACTGAGAGAAAATAACTAATAACAGGCCTACGCGAAGTTGTTTTTTTCGGATTTCACAGTGTTTTCGAAATGTAACTGCGTAGGTAGTTCCAAAAACGACCAGTTCCGAGTACAATCTGTGTTAAATTTCCAACCTAAAGAGATATATTCTATAGTGTAAAGGCGCACGAAACTTGTTGATCGTTTTTACAGCACCAAAAATTGTTGACGGAAAAAAACACACATAATTGTAAAATCAATATCTCCCTCGCGCCACTATAGGATTCTAAAAAAAAAAAATAAAAAAATAAGCGACGAGGTAAGACAAGCGAAGCCGGTCTTGGGTTGCTCATGCACAACAACTTGCCCTATCACCATTTCAGTTTTTGAGTTACAGCCTATAAAGTATATACAATATAATATGATCGTATTGCGTTATTGTTCGTCACAATTATTATTAGTAGGTCGACGACATTTTATTATTTTTCTTTAGTACTTTTATGCACAAGCTTTTATACGTAATTTTTTATTTCCTCTGATGACACACAAATTATACTACAAACAATAATAATTAGCGCAGATATTATTATGACTGTTGTCTCTGCGAGTGCACAACACTCTATACAACTGGGACGTAACTCATATATTATACAGTTACAAAAGAGTAACCCTCCTCTCCCCCCACACACACACACTACCACGGTAAAATATTAGCAGGTGAATTAATTGTGCAGGACGGTTCCTAGGTAACCAACGCGATCTTTTGTAGTCTATAAAAGGTAACACGTGTTTCGGGCTAATGGATTACCGTGATATTTTAATTACTTTAGAGGTCGCCGACGTTGTGTCACGATTAATTAAGACGAACTGTGTTACTTGTCTCGGTCAGCCTGTCGCAACAATACAACAACTATATAATATGAGCCTAGTAACATTTTTTGTCACGTGTTAACAGTTTTGTCTAGGCTCGGTATGCAGCTGATTATAATGTCACCCGATAAATATTACTTATTTATTTATTTATACAGTATATCAACGGGTCACAGCTACCCTTTTACAAATTATATAAAGAAAACATTTCAAATTAAAAACTAATTAAGTGTAGTAAAAAAAAAAAAAATATATAAATTAAAACAATCATAATAAAATATAAATAATTCTGACTAATAAATAATAAGTACATAGTTTTATTATGGTTAAAATATAAACATTTTTTTTTCTTCCCTGATGATAAATCAATATTTTTTTATAATAACATAGATTTTGTTTTCAAACAATTGCGAGAGAGAAGAAATATGTCTAAATACGTACAAATTTTGTTGGCTAAAATTAAACCGCGATGCAAAAAAAGAATTGGTTCCACTATTATGTTATTCGATCACAATATAAGTGGCATACCTAGCTCAGACTGGATTTGTTGGACTGATGTTCATTTATTGGTAACTCTGACGTCAACAAATCCGTAATTATTTTCGACAACACTTTTGAACAGAAAAAAAATCGTAAAAAATAGGGATAATACTAATAGTATCCCGCGACGTTAGGTATACCTTTATGCGTTGTTACTAGTTGTTCGTGTCCTTTTTTTACGGAAATTATCAAACGCCCTTATTGTTTTTCGATGTAACATGTTGCAAATATTACTTGGATTTTTGAAAAAAAAAAGTTTAAAAACATTATAGATATACCTCGATCGTAATTTGCTCTTTTATAATTACTCGCATTTACAATATTTTGATAAAAGTTTTAACAACAGCTCTACCAAAATGCTTAAAATATAACTTTGGTTGTAACTACGAGTAACTACGTTACGTATCTATTACGTATACTACGTTGTATCTATTATAGCTTTCAAATATTTTGTTATATTACAATCACCTGAGCAAAGCAAGACGAATTAAAATCAAAAATTAAAATTCGTGTTAGGTATATCCGTGATTTATTTTAAAATCAAAATATACCAATAAAACTATTAGATATTAATAAAAATGTACCTTCATCAAAGTATATATTATAATAATATATTTATATAATTTATTGTTTAGGTACCTATGAAAGGTACTATACTTTTATTAAGTGTGAATTAAAATGTTGGCTAAATTAGTTATGAATCATAATTTCCACCTTGCTTCATAGTTCATAATACTATATTATGTCAAACATATTGGCAGTTAATTCATGTATGACGTATTAGATTCGACAAATTTCATATAGATTATCCAAACAATCGGTGTTATTATTAACAAACACTGGTTGATTGAAATATTGAATTATTATTATTATACAATATGTGTGCATCAATATAATTTCGTTTAATCCGTTAATTGATGTATAGTTTTAAACTAATTTACATTTAAACAGCTTATACAACGAGCAAACGCACGCACACATACACATTTTTATTTAGTGATCCATTATCAAAATATGTGTTTAAATTAAACGTAAAATATTATATATTAGGGGTAAATGGATAAATATATATGTGAATTACTTTTTAGGATTGCACTGAAATCTGCAAAGTCAAACCATGTCTGTGTATGAAGCTTAAATTGGTTATCAAAACGAACACGGATCGCTTAACGGATGACGTGTGTAGTTTGTACGACCGGTGGCTGTGTGGACCGCTGGCCACCGACTTGGAGTTCCACAATGAGTTGTTAACACTCATTAGTGTCCTCAAAAAGATCATACAAGACTTAAACAGTACGACCGGCAATCACGGTGAGCTGGAGTCGTTGATAAAACGTCATAGTGAATGCCAGGGCAAGTATCAGACATTGTTAAAGCAATTGGACCAACCTAGTATGCCGAGTCAACTCAAGGAACGTTGCGAATGTACACCGAAAGACGGAAAATAAAAATAAAAAAATTTACAAATAAACATCACTAATGTTACACAGGTTTTATTTTTCACAAGTAGTTATAAGTAGTTTCAACTTTACTAATAATCTTGTTTATATTATTTAATTATTTTGTCAAGATTTTAAATATAATGGTATATTATAATAATATTATATATAAAAAAAAATACAGTTAAACAAGAAGTCGGGGCACTTTCAAGCGAAATCATTTTATAGTCACAACTAACACTTACAATTTGAAACAGAAAATCAAAAACTGAATACTGATATTTTTAAGCATTGATTTTTTTTTTTGCCTTTCTATTTATTTAATTTACATTAAATCTGTGAAATTGTAAATAAGATAAAAAATATTTATGTACTAGAACAATAATGAGTTAACGATAGTGGCGATTTTCTTTTAATTACTTATTGAAATATTTTTAAATTAATAATAGCATATTGACGATTTCAATTACAAGTAAATATTATAGTTCAACAATCATCAATTCATCAGTAATGATCGGGTAAAGATGTTTTTTAAATAATCAAAGAAACATTAAATTATGATTAATGGTTTATTAAAATAAACTGAGTAATAGTAATAGTGCCAATAAACTTGGTTAGTTGATATTAATTTCGTTTTGTATTTTTTAGAATAAGTGGATTCTCAGAAGAGCTTTCGGAAAGTAAACATTCATCATTAAACGACAATTATGATGTTTGAAAATATTTTAATAACTATTTAGTAATTTAAGTATTAAAATTTAATTTGAGATTTAATTTTTAATTACAAAAAATGATTACATTTAAATTTATTTTTGCAAAATAATATATGAAACCACTCTACCTAACAGTTTTTTCCACGCGTTATCTCATTGGTTAGTAATTTAAATTAAAATATCATATTTCTAAAACCACGATTATATAGTTTTTATTTTTAACATAATTCATATTTAACCATACGATACTGATTATTTAAAAAGGGAGAACTCTCCCTAGCAGGTTTCTATTGTTTCTAGTAATTGATCATACAGGTCACTGTAAATTGTAATACATGTGAATTGATTTACTTCAGTAATAAATATTAATACAACGTTTAAAGAAAAGTTCTAATTATGAACGTAAGATATGAGTGGGCCGGCATCATTGTTTTGCTAAGGATATTTTATGTTATTAGGATTTTCATGGTTGACCTAAATTTTGACCGAAAAATAGAATAAACTTATTCAATATACTGACGGGTAGTAGAGTTTGAAATTCGTTTAGTTTATCTAACTTTAACTCAGTTAAAATATTTTGAAAATATAACTGTGTATAGTAAATTTGATGGCAAAAAGTTTCAAGACCGTGCAGTTGATATTTTTTGAATATATTATAACAAAATAACTAAAATCGTTGATTTAATTTTAATTTTAAATAACCAATTTCGTCCAAATTTGAAAATGTCACAAGTTAATAAAAAAAAAAATATCGCCATATATTTTAAATATTTTCAATTGGAGCGAGAAAAACTCATGAGGAATTTTTCATTACATTTATAAGGTAACGTCATAATCTATCAAAAGTTGTATAAATATAAACTGAAAAAAACAAAGCCAACAATTTTAAATACCTACTACGTTATACCAAATATATACAAAGAGAGCCAATATATTAGGAAATCCATATAATTTCTATAAAATACCGGTAGATTAGTTTGGTAAACATTTCAAATTCCTATAGTCATTCCTTTATGAATTACAGCAAAGAAATCTGTCTTGTCGAAGATCGGTGTTCTGAAAATATTTCTGTTTTTTGCTAGTTTCTTACAATTGTTAAGTAAAACACTTGGTGTTTTCTACCTTTGGATAGTCCAAAGTACTACCAGAGGCCAGAAACCACGCCCCCCCCCCCAATGTTGAATATTGAGGTAAATTGTTTACCCTCAAGGCGTGACGTAAGACAATACATAGGTAACATCATTATTGTAAAACCAATGTATTCCTCGCTCAGCCTAGAATCTAAAATATTTGCTTGTTACCAACTAGTCAACACTAAACGTTTAAACGGTATTTAAATACCTATAGCTATAACACTTCACGAGGAAGTGTGGTGCATTGATTATATTATTTACTACTTTCAACTACCCATAAGAATATTTTTTTTTTAAATAATATAGGATAATAATAAAATACAATACTGGCAAAAAAAAGATGCTCGGTACTGCAGATTAAATAACGCAAGAGTCTATAAATTATAGAACTATATAAGTTGATTAGAACAAAAGTTATTGCATCTGTCAGGTATTTCTGTATATAGGAATTATTTTCAACAAAATAGTATAAGAACATATTTTCTGCAACTAGTCATGTATCCTTTTCTGAATATTATGTATTTATGTGTAACGGTGGAGAATATTACATTACATACAACGGCAAAAAATGTTAACACAATAAATCAATATTTGATTTAAAATAATGTCACATTATGAGCCAAAAAATATAGAATAATTCATCGGTACCTATCTGGGTTGCTTTTTGAAACATGATTTACGCTCTAATATTTAGTACAATAAGAGTTTAGTAAATAAACTATTTAATTTTAACAAATAAATATAGTTTTGTATATTTATTAATTATAATTTTATTTTAATATTTACCACTAAAATTTAAAACTATTGATATTCTTTATTTCTTTCTTCAGTTACCTAAAACGTAATTCGATCATTATACGGATATAACGGCCTTACTATAATATTATGATATAATCTTACATTAAATATTTCTTACACGTATTCACTTAACAATAAATAATATCACAATGAATTAAAATATTAAATATTATTTCAAAAACCATATTATACTTAAATATTATCATACCAAAAAAAAAACAACTTTATTACGACAGTGTTGTGTATCAGCTGATAGGACTCAACGATGCGACTGGGTTATCATTAAATTACATTACTATAACAGCATAAAATAATAATTATTATTATAACTTTCAATTGACATTGATTTGTGAGTTATCGGAAAAACAGATTATATGAATGTGGTGTATCTGTAGATTTTTTAATTATCCTCAATGTTATGCATATACAACATCATAGAAATATATAGGTACCTACCTACTTACGTAAATGTAACAATGAATGCATTATAATAATATATTAAGTAAATTATAGGTACTTTTAGATGAATAAAGTCCTATAAATATCATAAATGTATTATTATTATGTAATATAATACTTTGTTTGAGTGACAATGTATATAATATACTATGTATGCGATAAATATACAGCGAAACCTCCCCTAGCGGACACCTCTAAATAGCAGCCACTTCCTGAAAATAGCAATTGTGTTTTTTTGGGAACAAACTACAAACTTTCTACAAACTGAACCCTTTGAGAATAGCGATCACCTCTTAACAGCCCTTAAAATTTCAGTGACCTTGAGTGTCCGGTACTTAAAGGTTTCACTGTATATCAGATTTTAATTTATATAAGAGAAAACTGATTGTAAAAGGATAATTAGGTAATAATTACGGAAAAAATAAGAGCATAATACACATTAGGTCATATAATACTAATTACTTCGTTATTACGCCATGTCTACACATAATAATATGACATGTCTCGTGTAGATGAACTTTGAATGTGAAAAATAGGCTCCAAAACACTTGATCATTTTTTGACAGTACATATTAGGTAAAATATTTATTTTTTTTCAATTATTAATACTGTATTGTTTACAAAAACTTTTTTTACACACTTTAAATTTTCTATTTTTTATTCTTCAGTTATTTAATACCATACGTCATTAGGTGTTTAAATTAAATTTACATTTAAATATTTAACGTAAAAAAAAAAAAGAGAGAGAAATAATATAACATTTTAATTCAGCAAGAATAGTATAATGGAATCGTAATGTTCTTTATGTAATTATTTCCAACCAGATTATTAACAAATAATTAAAACAAATTATATATTTTGAGTTTCATAATGTTTCTTTTTTCATATCGAATTAATAAACAACAGCAATACAAGAGTTAATACTTTTCAGAGCTCGAAAAAAAATATTATTATAAAAAGTGTTGGAATAAAAGTATATTTTGATTGTTAAATTTTCTTAACAAAGTGTTTTACATAAATAAGACCTGTATTTTAAATTAATTTTTTTTAACTTACTTTTTCTTAGCTTTTAAGTACAAAAATGTGTTTTATATTTTTAAATAACATACTTAACTATGTGTATTAATTATGTAATAAATATGTTAAATCTTTTTAAAATTTTTTTTTTTATGTTTAAGTTTACTCAATCAAATTTTGTAGCCGGGAAAATAGAGAAAAATTATTCATTTTTTATGTACAAACTTTTTTTTGAAATATAGATGGAAAACCTTATCACATATAATCTGTATTGTAATCTCTATAGAAGGAAATAGTTTGAGTTGGTCAATTTAATAAAATTCTACAAACTCGTCTCGACGTCGGTATTATAAAACAATGAAATCACAATATGATGAACCTACATAATTATTGTTTATTTAAATTGTTATAGTTATAAACACAATTATAAGCTACTTTTTAATTTAACCTCGTCCCATAGTCGATAACGATTCAATTTCAACTTCCAATAGGTAATATTAGAGATAGGCAGTATAATGTAATATTAAGTTTGTCTAATACTCTAATCAGGAATAATTACTTCGTTCGGAACCAGAAAATAATGTTTTGGTGATTAATAGGAAAAACTAAACGCGCCGAATGAATTTTTAATTGTCAACCGAGAACTCAAATTCACTTCAGATTGTAATATTTTAGCCTAATAAGGTGTGTCATGCGGAACTTTAAGACACCGCAATTTCGTTTGTTTTATAGTTTCTATTTTAAATCGGCAGACCACTGTGTTATTGTTATAATACTTACCGCAGTCAAGTTATCCGCGTGGATTTCGTACAATATTATTATCAAAACCACTTGTGTACTGACCCTGTCACGACACTCAGCTGTCGTATACGAGGACACATGATGATAA